GTAGTTCATATCTACTTCAGTTATCAGACACAGGGAATAAATGTCCTAAACGGGAAACTCAAATGGCAAGGCTGGGCAGGCATATAGTCTAGGTCTCATGACCCTTAATTCTAAACTTTTTCTATTACAATGGACTATCTGTACATGAAAATTTAACTTCTGAAATTTATCCTTGCATACGACAGAATAAAAAAGTAAAAGTCTTATACTACCATCTCTTACATTTATACACACATTATGTACTGCATATTATTTTTTATTATACATCTACACGTGCATATTTCTTTATATGGTTGTGTTTTCTGAGATCACATGAATGGAATTTCACCCTCAATGTGAAGGAATTTTTTTGGTTTGTTTCTTTTATTTTTTTTCTTTTTTCTTTTGTTTTGTTTGGTTTTTTGAGACAGGGTTTTTCTGTAGTCCCAGCTGACCTGGAACTCACTATGTAGACCAGGCTGTCCTTAATCTCAAAGAGATCTGCCTGCCACTGTCTCCAGAATGCTGGCCTTGAAGGCATGTGCCACCACACCCAGCAAAGTGAAGGATTTTTAAAGGTACATTGAACAAATTAACATCACAGTGAAATATAAATCACATGCTACAAATGAACCTTTTGAAGTACACAACTTCATGAGTTTTAGTGCAATCACTAACTTGCTCAAGAAACATTTATGACCATCTAATTTTAGAATATACTCAGTAGCCTTGAAAGAAGCCGCACAGTTATTAGCAGTCAGCACTTTCCCCTACGACTGAAACTCTGACAGCCACTAATTTACTGTTTCTGTGGCTTTAATACAGTCAGAATATTTCATATAAATTTCTCTCTGAGAACTACTTTAACTGCATCCCATAAGTTTGGGTATGTTGTGATTTCATTTTCTTTTGTCTCAGAGTATTTACTGATATCCCTTATGATATTTTTTTACTCACTGGTTAGCAGTTTTGTCTATTTTCCATAGATATTCTTCCTATTATTTCCTTCTAATTTAATTCCACTGTAGTAAAAAAATACACTTCATGGATTTAATCCTTTTAAACTTACAGATATGTCTTTTATGACCTAGTAGGCCATTTTCCAGGTTTATATACTGGAGAATATTGCAAGGGCAGTTGAAAAGAATATGTATTGTACATCATGATATTGGTTAGAGTGTTCTATGGCTATATTGTTCACAGTGTTGTTCAAGTCCTTTGCTTACTGGTTGGCCTTCTGCTAATTGTTTTATCCATTTTTAAGGTGAAGTATTGAATTTTTCAATTAATAGAGTTGGAGTCTTTATTTCTCTCAATTTCATCAGTTTTTGCTTCCTGTATTTTGGTGCAGTGTTGTTAAGCAGCACACATATTTTTTTCATAATTACATTTTCTGGAAGCATTGACCTTTAATCATCATCAAATGTTTACTTTTTCTGGTAACAAATTTCCCCTAAATTCAGGGTTTTCTGATATTCATACTGTCATCCTAGCTTTTAGCCACAGACTGCATTGTAGATTAGAACTGTACATTTGTTCAGCTCACTTGTTTGCTACTTTGTGTCCTTGAATCGATACCTCCCCATTTCCTCCACTCTCCACCCTCTTTTCCTCTTCTTTTACTTTCAACCTATTTGCCTTTCCATGTGTATTAATTTTCTTAGATAGCATAAAGATGGGTCATGCCTATTCTGGCAATCTCTGGCTTTTATTTGAGTACTTAATATACTAATATTTAAAGCAATTATGGGTAAAATAATTACTCCTGACATTTTTCTCTTTTGTTTTATGTCTTTTGGAGAGATATTACTCAATTCTTTTTTGTTAAATCCATACGATCTAGTATATATTTCATCACTGATATTTTAAAATAATTTTATCTTGAGTTTATGATGTTTATCTGCTCATTGCAATTAATATTTTAATACAATCTAGAGTAATACTAACTTGATTTAAATTGTGTATAAAAATATGCTACAGGGTAGCTCTGTTTCCCCCTCCTCTGGGCTCTCATAAACACAGAAATTATGTCTTTATACACAATAAGTCCATCAACACATTTTTATAATTACCAGATCATACAGTTGTCTTCTGAAATAAGCCAGACACCGAAAGAGAAAGGTTGCATGATCTCACTTATATGTGGAATTTTGTTTAAGGAAAAAGGTCAACTACATAGAGATGGAGAACAGAACAGAGGTTCTAAAAGGGACTGGAGGGGTGAAAGAAATGAGGAGCTGTAAATCAAAGGACAAAATGTAGCAGATACGTTGGATGAACAAATTTACAAATCTAATGCAGGAAATAAGGACTGAATTTAATAAAAATTGTATTAGGAAGTAGATTTTAGCTACTCTGCTCATGAGAAAAAAGAATGATATGAATCCATAGATGTTAATTTGCATCTCTATAATAAATATTTTATTATGTATATGTATTCCACAACCTGTGTTTTAAACCTCAAATATGCACAATAAAAGCATAACTGTATTTTAAAATTAAAGGAGAAGAATTGCAAAAAGTCCCAAGAATATATATGTTAGAGAGTTTCAAAACCCCTTATGGACTAAGTTTGCAGCTTTTCCTCATGGAATTTTGATAAGCTTTATTTGCCCCAACTCTTACTGCCCACCACCATCTTTCAGGCAGCTATAATTTTTAAAGTCAAATAAAAAGAACTGTGCTACCACACAGGTCAGTTTGACAATTCTTGGGGAATGAGGCATTTAAGAAGCTCCAAACACCCAACTGCATTATTCAGTGGCGGTAGGTTATAGTCTTCATAGATACTGGAGAATGTTGTTTTTCAAGGATACTCGGAACAGGACAGAAGGAATGTGAAAAAAATAAAGCAAATCAGACCACCAAAATCTTTGTATTCTTACAAGATTTAGACATTTTTCTTGAATAAATATGTCTTGTATTGTTTTGCAGAGTTCTGTAAAGGTTGATCTTGACAGTGTTATATGTGTTTATGGAAAAACAAATTTTCAGAGTCCTACTCTACATTTCTTAAGTTGTGAGTTCAAAGATATTTTTAATTTCATCCAATTTTCACTTTTGCCAAGTGTTTGTGAACTAAGTCCCTTCAGAGCTGCAGGTCCATTGTATGTTGCTTGACTTCAATTCAATTGTAGAACTATTTGTTGAACTTCTATTGTTTCCCCAGCATTGAACATCTTGCCTACTTACTGGTTTTATAAAGAATTTCGTTAGTAGTTTACAGAACAGGGGTACCAAGTTTTGCCTGTGTCTTGGGTTTTTCATATGGCTAACCGTCTGACATAAAAATGTTTTTCACATCTTTAAAAGATTGTAAAAGAAATAAACCCCCAAAGAAACAAGAGCATGTTAAACATATCATACATGACCATCAGGGAAAGAATAAAATATTTATTATTTCACAGAAAAATTTTGCCAAACAAAATTGTACATTGAAAGGGAATAGCCAGTTTGTGAGAATGAAATGTTTCCTATGGTTGCCTCTGCTGTACTTTTAAATCATTCAATATTTCTTTGAGTATCTCCGATTATAGTTTCATAACTGGAAGCTATTTTATGGAGCATCTATTTCAACGTTTGCATCTTTTTTCGGACAGGGTCTCACTATGTAGACCGGGCTGTACTTGAACTACTGATCCTCTCATATCTATAGTCATATACATTTATCCGAGAAAAAAATGAAAACTTACATTCACACAAAACCTATACATGAATATATAAAGCATGTTTATTTGTTCTAGCAACAAATTTGGTAATTCCATATGTCATTCAATGGATGAAAGATTAAACAAATTGTGGTACATCCATACCATGGAATACTATGCAGCAATAGAAAGGAGGAAACTTTTGATAGATTCAGCAATTTGGATTAAACTCAGGGGAGTTATGCTAAATTTAAAAGATTGGTCTTGGAGCTGGAGAGATGGCTCAGCAGTTAAGAACACTGAGTGTTCTTGCAGAAGACAAGGGTTCAAATCCCAGCACCCACATGGTAGCTAATGACTGTCTGTAACTCCAGTTCTAGGGGATCTGACGGCCTCTTCTGTCCTCCTTGGGCATTGCATGACATGAATGCACTTACATACATGTAGGCAATACACTCTTACACATAAAATAAAAATAATAAATAAAATATATTTAAAAGATCAGTCTCAAATGTTAACATATAATTCCATATTTAAAACATTCTTGAAACGTCCAACTTATTTATATGAGAAGCATATATAGAATGCCAAGACATAGGAATGTGTAGAAGGTGTGGAATCTATAAAATAATAGCATAAAGGTGCTCTGTGGGGAGAATACAGTTTTGTATCTTGAGTGTACCAGTGATTACACAAATGTATGTGTGATAAAATTACATAGAACTAGGGGCTGGAGAGATGGCTCAGCAGTTAAGAACACTGGTTGTTCTTGCAGAAGACCCAGGTTCGAATCCCAGCACCCACATGGCAGCTACCAATTGTCTGTGATTCCAGTCCCAGGGGATCCAACAGCCTCTTCTGACCTCTGTGGCCATTGCATGACACAGGTGCAATTACCTACATGTAGGCAATACACACATATACATAAAATAAAAATAACAAATAAAAAATACATAGAACTCCAGACACACACTCACACAGACACACATACACAATGAATGAATACATAAATCTGCACGATGTTACCTTTGAGAAGAAATTGAATAAAAGATATATTACTACAGGGGTACCTCTTTATATATTTTTAAGCTCTTGGTGACTATATGATCATTTTAAAATAAAAATTATATAAAATACAGCTGGGCATGGTGGTGCACACCTTTAATCCCAGTATTCGGGAGGCAGAGGCAGGCGGATCTCTGTGAGTTCAAGGCCAGCCTGGTCTACATAGTGAATTCCAGGTCAGCTGGGACTATAGGGAGACCCTGTCTCAAAAAAAAAATTATAAAATACTATTTCAAAAACTAAAACAATTTCAAAGCTCAAAGTGTCAAAAAAGGAGAGTTATTAACACTATCTCTTCTCTTCTTACAGGACTTATACCTGCCACTATCCTTGGATGATTCAGATTCACTTGGCGATTCCATGTAAAGGATAAGAATCAAAATCCAACCCTACCATTACAGTAGAGTTCTTTCGCTCAAGTGACCAACAACGTTATGGTGCTTAAAATTTTTTGTTGTTGCTGTTGTTGTTATTTTTCAAAACACTCTGTAGTACATAGGGTTTATTTTCCTGTGACTTCTCCTCTGGGCCACTAATTCACAATTACCACTTATGAAAGATAGATTGATCACCATCCTTTGGGGTGACTTTCCAGGGATGCAAAATGTGCTAGTCCATGACCATTCTACTGAATGCTTAGGGGCTGTTGTTATTTTCCCCACTCAATTCATTCGTACATGACTCTTCCTTCTGTGGAAGGCTGTTTACAAACGTTATCACTTAACATTTTGTGGGGGGGAAAACAGTCATTGGCAGATCTAAAAGTGATAAACATAAGTACCGCTTTTCTCTAATCTTTGGAGTGTTAAGGGGTCCCAGGAGAGTGTCAAGACAGCTCCTTGGCCTCACTCTTTGCTCATAATTAAGTCCTCAGTGTGTTGTCTAGCACTAATTCTGGCTGTCAAGAGGGAGAAACACCAACAACTTATAATTGTGATGCCACATGCATAGAGCCATGGTATAAGGCTAGCTGAAAGAGATGAGGCAGAATTGGGAAATACTGCAGACATTTCAGTAGAATTTATAAAGCACAGTGAATTCCTAGTCAACCCCTATACTGGGGCAGTTTTGAATCAATAAATAATTGATGAGTTTGGGGTAAGTGATGTCACATATGTGATTCTTCCAGGAGGCTGTCCAACATACCAAGTTATTACATGAACTCTATTGTATCCATCTATCTCTGTTCTACTGAATGCCTTGTAAACAACCAACACTGAAAACACTGTGAGAATTTGTTTTCAGGTCTGACAGCTTTTGGTCGCTTTTTATAGCAAGAAACCATATCCTTTTTATAAAAACTCATGCCTGTATTTCAGGAGCAAACTCTTCAGGCTCCTTTTTTATAAACTGGTGATTTTTCTTTTGTCTAAAAAACACATGCAGAAAATTTACCAAAAAAAAGCAGAATAATGTAGTTTAGAAATCATGCTATCACTGCCAAACTGAACCTCCAGGAGAAAATACAATGACTAGCACAGGCCAATTCAATAGAATCAGTCTTTTGATACGTTTTTCACAGTTACGCTTACAGTAATAATTTCAATGTGGACCAGACATTCTAATTATATTTTGAATGAAATGTTATGGCATATTTTAAGTAACTCTTTTTTATCTATAATCTTAATATTTCATACTGAAGACGTAGAAACCTTTCACTTGTCTTTAACATTAGAAAGGATTTCTCTTTATTAAGGACTGATCATTTGAAATAATTCTCAGTCTTTGAGGTACAGGTTTATAACTCTCCTTTTTGTCAGTAATCACATCCCATAATAGCAAAGACAACGAAATTTAGGTGAAAGCCATGCATGCTAATTCTGTGTTTGCTTTTAGCAGATATGAAGATTTCCTTTATTTCTTTGTTATGGTTCAGATATTTTGAAAGGTACAGCATTCAAAGCCAGGCTATTGCTGTTGTTTGGCTACTGAATGGCATGCAGCTGTCCCTCTATTCGAAGTAGGATGATTTTGGTTGTGTGTGTGTGTGTGTGTGTGTGTGTGTGTGTGTGTATCTATGGCTGCTTCATAATCAGGAAATAGTATAGAACAACCCAACATGGATTGATGGCAACTTGGTGGCATTGCTGATATGCATGGGGGGAAGCCAGGATAGAAGGGGTAGCTAGAGGCCCCTTGAGAAGTTTCAGATGTTCTGAGTTACAAGAAACAGTTTTGGTTCAGAAGAAGTGAGACGATGGTAGTTCTAGTTTCTGGTTAAACTGGTCAATGAAGAATACAAAATTATGAGGTTCTCCTCTTGCCTCCCTCCTTTATTTGTAGAGTTATATGAAGCCATTGAGAAAGCTATTTTACCCAGCCCCCATTTCTTTCTATAAGCTCAGGGTTTTCTTAGTGCCTCCCAGAACATGTAATATTTAATTAGGGAAAATTGATATTTCAGATGGATAGAAAGTATGCTGGGAGGTCTATTTTTAAACTCCAGGCCATCTTCCCCAAAAGACTCCACGTGGTTCTTCTAAAAGATATCATGTAGTCCCATACGTTCATTTAAGATCAGAAAATGGGGTTCCCAACAGTTTAATGATCTACTGGAAGAGCAGGAGCAGAAAAAGCATCCAAATTGTATCACGCTGAGACTTTATACTAGCTCTTAGAGTTTTTCCTTGTTTGTGTAAATGGACCACTAGCACATACTAGATGGCCATGTTTTCCTTAGAATATCCCTGGACCAGACACTCTTCTATAACAGTGCCCTTTCTATCTTTTTTTGAATTAATTTTAAGGAAACATTTTTTATTGCTACTTCATAGGGCAAGACTTGGTATAGTATAAAACTCAAGTCTCAATAATTTCATTTTAAATTGGCCCATTTTCAAGTAAATGTGTTTTTGTGGAATGGAGCTCTTCACCCATGTTACTTATCCCCAGTTTTACCTAATCCTATTTTACTACTTTAGTCCCATTGTGTTGCTTCTGCATGGTCAGCAAACATTTGCCACCATTTCCCATAATGTCTCCCTATCTCTTACACTCTCTCTCTCTCTCTCTCTCTCTCTCACACACACACACACACACACACACACAATCCATGTGTTGTTTGTTCCTACCTCCTGAGTTTTCTTCCTTACACAAATAGAAATAGGGACAAAAAAAGGGAAATGTATATACAGGGGCTGGGCTGAACAGCCAACTTCATAGGTAGTGCTAACTAGAGTTAAATTGATAGAAAAGCTCCTTTTCTCTTTACTGTTTTGGAAAGGATAGCCATTAGCATGACTTCTCTGTGTCTTTATGGACTTTTATATTAGCCTAGATGGAATCATAGAATTTTCTAGTTGAAGGAACCATAAGATCTCATCGTCTGTTCCAAATTCATCATATTTTGAGGCCAGGAAGCAGACACTAAATTTCCCCAAGGTCACATACCTGCTCATGGGCAGTGCTGGGATTAGAACCAATACCTCTTGGCTCTTATTCCAGGGTCTTTTCCAACTAGTCAGTAGTGCCTTCTGTGAGGCTCCTGAGAATTCTTTCCCAGGGTCATGTTGCATCCTGGAGCCATATGCTGCTGTCCTGATCGCAGCAGGAAATACATCAGCAACCTAATCTGGCCCTTTCTCCACACATTCACATTATTCCCATCCACATGGGCTGCAGATGGCCTGAGAGAGAGGGAAGCAGGGAAAGAGGAGAGAGAAAGAGAGATTGAGGACAAGAGGAATGATGGACCATCCAATTTAAGGGATCAGTGCCCCACCTTGAGGAGTCTTCAAAATTTTCCCCTAAGGTCCTGCTCTGTAAAAGTGGAATGGAAAATAAAAGACTAATTTTCCCTGACAGCTTACTTCATGTCATCTCATACTAGTTGGTCTTCCCTGGCTAAGGGAATGGTTTCTTGTTTCCAGAGCAGGGGGAGTAAGAAATGAAGAGCAGAACAATAGCTTTGTTTATCCTGACTTTCTGAGATGGCTTTTTAATATTTTAAAAACTAGTTTGGCTACATCGCTACTGACAATGATCACTTTTAAAATATGGGAGTGAGACCAGCTAGAGAAAATAGCCCAGTCTTGTGTTTGTCCTCTTTCTCAGTGTTCCCATGGCCATGCCTCTCTGATGGGGACTATTTACAGATATAAGCAAGTGGCTTTTTGAATAAATTGTACTCTGGGTGATGTCAAATATTGGGTTCTTTTATTTGCACCAAAATAGCACATAGTGAACTTACACATTCTACCCATCTCTTTGAGTAGTCTGCAGAAATTAGGCCAATAACTTCGTTACATGTTTATTACCCTGTACCAAGACTCTTCCTGGGAGCTAAAAGATATTTTCTGAGTTCTAAGAGACCACTTGTGAGGGCTACCAAAGTCCCGATAAGTCTCTCTCCTTTTTCTTTCTCTCCTCCAGTTAGGAGTAAGCACGGAGTCTTAAAATGGGCGTGTACATACCTGTGCCCCAGAGCCTTCTTAGAATCATCTAGCCCAAGTTTTAGACAAGAACCCCAATGCTTGCTTTGGATAAAATTTTGACTCCATTCCCAGTGTCTTCAATAGTCCAGGTAGAGATGCCCCCATTTTCTCCCACATATCATTCCAAATGGATCTTCCTTTTGCAAAACAAAGATGCCACACCTCCCTGAACTGGAGAACTAGCATGTCCATGACCCATAAATGAGCTCTTGCATAGTGATGGGAATGTTGCAAGAAATTAGTCCAGTTCAGTGGCAAGAGATTTCTGCAGGCATGAGCCCTAGGACAATGTGGTTGCAATGGCTTTCTTCATGGTAGTCCAGTTCTCTAAGTAAACAAAAATCACTGGATAATTCTCTGATTTTCTTTTTTAAAAGGTGATTGAAACCTGTTCTTAGGCACATGGGCCCACCTTGGACCTATGACCAAGCCTCATTCATATTTTTCCTTCAGTAATTTAAAAGATCTAGCTTCTAAGCTCTAACTGGTTTCCTAAGTAAGCCAGAAGTGTTTTGGAGTTCTTCTGAGGTCACAGGAGGGCCTAGAGTTCTTTGATTTAGGCTTGGAACCTAGAGAGGGTAAAGGCTGAGTACTAACCTAGCCATTTATAATAAATATGTCAGCAGTGATCTGGGACTTCTTTTGTAGTGATAGAGCCCTTCAAATGCTAGGCTTCCTGGGTCTCTCTCCTAGTCTAGAATTTAGAATCTGATATAATTTTTCACTGATCTATAAAGACCTTATGTATAGTATCATCCACTGCCCAGTGAATCATGCAGGTTTTCCTCTTTAAGGCATGACTGACTAGAACAAGAATAGTTCTTTATGCCCCTCTTTTGGCTAGAGAGGCATCAACTTCAGGATCGTTGACTAGGAGTGACCCAGACCCAGTCTAGGACTGTCATCATTCTGTGGATTGGCCTTAGTCAACCCTTAAACCCTGTGATTGTGGACTCAATACAAATCATATTTTTAAAATGAGTTCCCAGTTTTATTCTTCCTCTAGATAGTGATCTTCATTTCTCTAGAAGGTAAAAGGCTGAAGGTCTTATTGCATAGCAAGCAAGAGAGAAGTATGATTAAGAAAATGCATTTCTACACCTGTAGAGCACTGAATCTAGTAGACAAACTATTACGGGCTGGGGTTGTAAGCAATTTCTCCTAGCCCTTTGTACTTTTGATGGTAGAATAGAAAGCCGCTCAGATTGCCTAACTGAAGAATGTACCCAGTTCCTGTCCCTCCAGGAAAGGGGGCTCCCTTTCCATCTCCCCTACTCTGATCCCCAGAGCTTGCTTCCATTTCCAAAGGCAACATGTAGTCATTACATCTAATCGCTTAGTGTTGCTTTGCATGTCTTCATGTTAAAGACTGATGTAGACCTCACACTTTGGCCAAGCTAACTTTTTAATCCCTTAGTTTATTGGTGTTAACTTTTTCTGGGATTAGAGGTGATTTTTTATTTGGGATGCCTGGTGCTTGTGGAATAGAGAATTTCTATTGGGAATTAAGGCACCTTCCTTCTTCTGATTGGAAGGCCATATGAGTTGTTGGAGAGGTCATTCAGGAAAGAAAACCTTGTAAACGGAGGCAAAGACTTGAAAGCATTGGAATTTCTCATTTCTGGGCAATAACCCAAGGAAACAAGTGGCTTTTTACCATTCTACTCTTTTTATTTTTCTCTAGTTGCCTATATTTGTTCTCATTTTATGCTGTTATCAAGCTCTCCTTCCATAGCACAAGCATTCATTCTTTGACTTGTGCAGATCTCTCTTTTGGTATCTTTTCTTTTTTCCCTGCATAGGCACTAGGTACATGCCATTCCTTAGCTTGTGATTTTTGCCTTGGAACTGCAAAGAAATTATTTTCAGACTCAACCATTCTTGTTCTTACCCGAGTCCAGTCAGAAGTAGGTTGGTGGAAATCAACCTGATTCTCACTTTCTTCTTTTCTACTTTGAGTCTCAGCAGATCTTTTCAAGCATTTTCCTTACAGCTTATGTATGTGTAGGTCTTTACCTTCTAAGTAAGCATTGTAAAGAATATTTTGTGTACTTTTTAGTTTTCCATTGTGTGGAGCAGTGTAAGTTGCTCAGATAAACAATAAGATTAACAGAAAAATCCACCATGGATTCATATTGGCTAAATATTCTTACTTCATTTTGTTTAATTTGATCATAGTTTTAAAAGCTGCAATATAGTATAATGAGAGACCACACATAATTGCTCCTGTCATTTGGTTGGGCTGGGTGGAGATTGGGAGCAGGAAGAATTAGTTGAACTTTTTATCATTATTCACTAAGCTTTCAAATGTTATACCTTTATGATTTGTGTTTGCCAGCTGTTGAATTATTCAAGCTAAACTGATAGACAATTACGTTAATTTAAGTGAAAAGAATATTTTTAAAAAGCCATACTATAAAAAGAAACCACCTAATTGAAATGTATTTTTCCTTCGGATACTAGATTCACCTACACATTTTCATTTTCACACCAACTGTTCATGATTTGGAACAGTCAGTCCATGTATGAGTAATTAGTGGGCTTACAGAAGCCAGCTAATTTAGTCAACAGAGTGCACAGCCCCTGGGACTGCACTGCTTGGCAACACCACACGGAAT